GAAAGTCCACAACAACATGCTTTACATATAATCATATGAAAGTAGACTGTCTTCTTATATAAGTCACTATAAGCAATATAAATACTAAAGGAAACTAAAATAATGTCTTACAGCCAAACAGAAATCTTTAAAAACAAGACTCATGGCTTATATAAGTTACTTAGATAGGAATAAATACTGCAATGTGTCCTTTCCGTTCAACGAACAGTACTGATATTATAACTCTGCACTTTTTAGTTTTCCTTTATTATTATTCTTTCATGCTTATTTTGGCCAAAGGCACTATTACACCTCTACTGAAAGTTACAGTAGGTTTCCTATAATTCTCTAACTTGCTTTTTCTGCTACACTCTACATTTAATACCCTCTAGAAAAGCTAGACTTTATGTTCTGTGATTATATAACAGACCTTTTCATTACATAGCCAGAAAAGTATTACATCCTGTTATAATACAATGCAATATAGTATTTTTAAAACTGATTATACAGTTTCTTTTTTGTTTTCTAGGTCTTTGTTTTTTCTTATTGTAATCTTTAAAATAGATTTTTAGTTATTTAATAACAGTTCAGAGATTCCATACATGTAAAGATAGATCTGGATATGCAATAAGACTTTAATATTGCAATATTAATTCTAAAATGAGGACCAAGATATACAGGCAAGATGTTACCTTGGTCCTCCCTCTCTCATGGGCACACAGAAACATACTGACAGCACCACACATTCATCTTGCAGTTATTAATGGTATAAAATTGTATTTGATTTAAAAAAAAAGCAAAAAACAAAGTCAGAGGTATCTAAATGTCTTTTTGTCTGCCTTTTAATTTTCTAATATGTACAATTTTTCTTTCTCACTCTGTTTTATCCTGTCTCCCACTCAGAACAAATGCCAAAAGTGTACCAAATTTCCGTGGAAATTACATTGCAAAGCCGCAGAGGGAGAGGCGAGTGAAGCAGAGCAACTTAAAATGGCTTTATATAAAGGACTCCAAGGCCCTTTAATTACACTGCTATTGATTGCTATGTGCAGGTTTCCCACATTCATTTGCTGCTTTTTCCTCTCAACTATGCATTCAATACCCAGCAGAGAATTGCACTTAGTTGCTTCTGAATGTAGACTATTTTATAAGATTATACATAATATCTTTTTTAATTATCTAGTTTATATATTTACAGTAGTAGAATGTATGGATGTATTTGGTTGTTGCATATATGGTTTCTTTCTTATTTCTTGCCTTAAAAATGTATTACATATTTTAATTCCAGGGAAGTTCTATGTAATGCTAAGTATAAGTTTGTCTAATAAATCTATCCAGTAGTCAGAGTAACACAATGTTACAATGGTACTAAAAGACCATTACCATTACTAGCAGTTTATGTCTTTACCAATACACCATGGCACTGTAACCAGGGTACATATCTGCCACCTATTCTTACTATGTCTCATTCTGCCATTTAATCAAAGAGGCTGAGATGCAGTAGATGTCCTAGAGTTACGGAAATCAGCATTAGTAAGCCGAAGTGGTGTAAATTATGAGATTGTCAAGTGGGAGACCAAGGATCTTGTCGCAGGAGCTTTGGTTGTGCATTTAGTTAAATTTCATTTCACTTCCCATTTGGTTAGGTTTAGGGTTAGGGTTTAGATGGAAAAAGCACTTAACAAGGTTTAGGAAAAGATTGCAGTACGTTATCCCCGTCGGCAACTCAGCCATGAGTGATACCAGAGGAGACCCAGAGTGTTCAAATGCAGTTCCAAGGATCCTGAACAAGTGTGGAATTAGTTGGTGTAAAACAATTTTACAAGCACAAACAATCTGATTACAGTTTAGTTTTGAGCAGTATCGGTGGCACTGGTAATCTTTCCCAACTACAGACAGAGCCAGACTAGCCTCACCGCTAAGGTAATTTAGATTTTGTATTTCGAGTATAGACATGGCAGTGCTACTAATTGTATCAACTAACTTGAAATGGAATAAAGTTGTATATGCTGTTTTAAAAGGTAATGTTCTACATGTGTTTGAAGTCTTCATGAACCTTTGATCATACAGAAGCTACATTTTGTAGGAAAAGTAAAAGTATGCACAGGTTGAGCACATTGGTTCCTTTAATTTCATTTACAAAGGTAAACCTCTAGCAGAAAATTCAAAATTCTACTCAGAAGCTCTGCCTTGGTTTGAACCCAGGACTCTTTTCCTCTGAGGAAACAGCTCTTACCACTAAAACAACATGCTGCCTTTTATTCTGCCATACTGCTTGTGATAGGGAATTCATACAATCCTCCAGGATAAAATGGTGCTAAATAGCTTAGCTCTGTTGGTGACATCACAGTGTATTTGAGTTTTATATTTGCTGAAATCAGGACACATTCTGTGGGGAAAAGGGCATTTCCATTTCATTTAGCCCTTGGAAGTCAAACATATACTATTGTCCCTTTAAATATTTTCATCAACTCTCAAAACTTAACTTAGAGTCACCTCTTACCTGTAGAAGCAGCCGTATCTGTAAACCCATTCATCATGAGGGGAATTACTCTATGACAAATCTCTCTCCCTACTCTCTGTGCGTTTGCAGATTGAATACACAAACGGTCCACATGTTCCATCCCTCCTCTTTAGCCATAGTCATTTGTGCCAATGTCAAAAGTGATAAATGGGTTATGTGGCGCCTATGAGAGAAAGCAGTGAATTTTTATAATGTATTAAACAGGAGCGAGAGGGCAAGCAGACAGGCGGGCAGGGAGGGATGGAGGACAGGAGTGAAGCTGGAAAAGTGGGCTGTCATGCTGTAGTGCTGTAGGCAGGGGACCTCTGTCACACACAGTTTGAGCCCCAGCTCGCATCTTTGCTGGCACTTCTTCTGTATTTCCCTCAGATATCCAGCCATCAGCCCCCCAAGAGCTCACAGCCATCCAGCAAGGCAGCTGAGCTGGCAGACACAATATCTAGTGACTGCTCTGTCAAATGCATCATATGGCTGTCTGTGTGTGCTTTTAAGTGTGGTCTTTTTGCTGTTCTTACAAGAGCCAGTTGCACTTTAAGACCATCACATGAAAGACTTCGAAGGTCATTTTATGTTTCACATTTTTATGTATTGTTGCTGTTTGTTGATAGAGCTGTAAATACAAAACATCATAATCATAAAAATAATAATCTCCAATCTAGCATAAACTGAAATTGAAAATTTGAGCTGACAATTTGTTATTATTAAAGGATTTTTAGTCTGTGCAAAATTCCATTTAGTTTTCTATTATTACTTGAATATGTGACTTTCCTTACATATTCCCCTATTAACACTCTCACTGTCCCATATATAATGAAAATGCCTAAAAGGAAGTAACAAGACCCCAATAACGTACTTTTTTAAGCGTCTCTATTCAATATTGTTTATATCTGCCTTTCATTACCTTTACTTTCCAAGTGGTTGAGATTGATGCAAGTGCATGCACACACATTCCCTAGCCATCTACCCTCACATCATGATTTTAACCCTCAAACAGCCCTGCAAGACGTGTTAGCAACTAGAGACAAGCAAATGTTCTCACTTTCCACATGTCGTTTCTCTCTCTCAAAGAATCCAACACCATTGTGTCCTTGTAAAGATACACATAGAAGTAAACACAAATGAACCCAGACACACCAGAGCTCACAAAAACACAAATGGACTCTATTGTAATTACTTTAATGCCACTCTAACCAACCACTCCATTAACCATTTAGCATTAATTGACCTTTACAGCTACTTTGTCTTAACATTCAAGGTCATTTATCCAAATCACTTTTTAGTTCATCATGAGAGGGTTTGACAGAGCAGTCTAACACATGAACAGTAGTAGTTTAATGCATTCTGATCTCCAGTTTCCTGAAGATTGTGTGTTTCCTTCCCTTCTGACAACCATCAAGAGTTCAACCCTTGGAAAACAACTTAATTTTAGGACACCTGTAAAGTGGAGTGATGAAGTAGTTAAAGGTTCAAGTGATATTTCACTTTGACCGCACTCTGAGAGTGCAGTTTGTCCAATCAGATGAATTATTTGGAACTGCCAATGCACAAAAGGATAATTTCAACAATTGTGACTAAAGTCTAAAAACTATTGGTGGGACACTGGTGAAGAACGATGATGACTATCTGAATGTATACGATGTGGAGCAAAAACAAAAAAAATCTAGGAGGGGAGAAGAAAAAAGAGAAAACATTGTCAAGGAATGTAATCAATACATCAGTTCCTCCACAAGGTGTTAGATATGTAATTGATAAAAAGAAATATGAACCTAAAGGTAGATAAATCAATAAAAATGTCATAAAACCTAACTGCTGATTGGTAGGTGGTTTGTTTCATTGTGTTCACTCTGAATTTGAAGGCTGTTTTTAACCTAAGCGATAGCTATAGGATATACTAACCACAACGTTCATTTGATTTAATTTATTTTAAATCAGTCTACTTTGTTTTCGGTTTTTAGCTTGAAAATGTAATTAAAGTCAATTCAGTTCAGTTCAAATCAGTTCGGTCCAAGGAGCTTTCTTTCCAAGCCTTTTAGATACCATGGCCTGAATGACTGAGAACCTGCACAGTCAGTTTTATTCTATTTTATTTATATAGTTCCAAATCACAAATCAGTCACCTCAATATGACTGCAGGGTTACTGTTTATATTCCAAGTTTAAAAAAAAACAAAAAAAACCCCACAATAATACAGAGAAACCCCAACAATCATGCAACCTCTTATGAGCAAGCACTTGGCGACAGTGGGCAGGAAAACTTACCATTTAACTGGAAGAAACCTGCAGAGATTAATAATAACGAACTCCAGAGTGGTAATATCTCCCATGGCACATTTGATTTAGAACAGAGCATTCAAACCAGGTTCTGTCTATGTAAATAGATTTTCTTTTTTCTGAGTGAAAATTTATGAATGAAAATCTCCCAGTATCGTCACATTATGAATCAATAATAATTCAGAATTACTCATCTTACAATTTGTCTTTTTCTTTCTTTTTCCTAGAGCGCAAGAAGATAACCCTGACAATTGGAAACCAGTTTTCGTACAAGAAAATTTACAACGTTGTGGGATATCTGAAGGGAAAGAGGAACCCAGGTTTGTACAAAACCACTGCAGATTTGCCTTAAAGTTAAAACACAATCTCAGCATTTTTCTGTCTCTATCTTTGCTTTTAGCTACATTTGTATTTTTTCCTGTTTTGTTAACAGAACAGGTAATGATTTCTTGATGATGCTTGTATTACTTAGCTTTGCTGCAACATAATGCACTTAGTCCCCAAATATTGCTTTCATTCCTCAACTCAATCCGTCTGTGCTTGGCTTTAAACAAGCAGTAGAAATCATAAAAAAAAGATTAAAGGAGAGATTTGGAAACATCTGTATTCTCTTACTGGCAGAAAATTCCATGATAATATCAACACCACTTTCATAGCCATCATAAATGAGGCTACAAACAGTGCATGTTAGTTCAGTTTGCCACTAATGCTGTAAATGGGGAAGCAGTGTCTGCTTCGAACCATCAATGCTATCCACATCTGTGTCTCAGCAGAAGAGCAAATTATAGAAACTAAGCACATTCTGTGCTACAGAAATATTCTCACTGGTGGTTAAATGAGACAACCACAATGACTTCTCTTAAAGTGCTCTTGAGCAACTGAACCACTGGGTATTCAGGCAAGACTAGCAGTTTGTAGCAGTGACATACCATGAACCACTGGCTTCTGATAAATAAGATAATAATAATCATTTATATTACCTTTCCATGTGGAATTAACCGTTTTGATGACTAAAATAACCAGTTGACATCACCTTTAATGCAAACACAATTAAACTCAAATTGAATTATATGGCTGCCATAACAAATATTTTATATTAGTGAGGAAAATATTCTTTTTTTAAATTCTTTAATAAACTGTGGCATTGCCTATTATTTTCCTTGCATACAGCACTTCTATTCACATGTAGTGAGCACAGGGATCACAATAATGCATGACTTTCTCACTTAGAAGTGTTGTTTTAGAACTACTAGAATCTATTAGATTTGGAGGTTAGTGAAATTCTTCCAAAGCACATAGCCAGCCAGTCATAGCCAGAATGACTGAGAATATAGAATATATTCATGGTAGCAAGAGTTCTTGGATAATATTTAAGGTCTCATCATCAGTTTTAACTTATTGTGGGTGGTATTTTATATACACAGCTCACGTAGTCAGGAGCTTTCTTTCTCCAAGTAATAAAATTAGCTTACTTCTGTAAGGTTACGGTATTTACATTACTTTTAATTAGTTTTGACTATTTCATTATTTCAGATGCATCTAAATTTAGGTTACATTTCACCTGAAAAGTGATTCTTATAAACGCATATTAAGGTTCAGAAGATGCAGGTGCACGTTTTTTATGGATACATTAGATCAAAACACAATAATAGAAGCTTTAACTTGATTTGATCACACTTTCATTTTCGTCCCATGAATCCAAAGGTGGTTAAGCTCTGATAAGTAGACATTAACCACCTTAATGTTGACTAAAGTAGACATTAACTGTAGGGCTGGGCGATATGACCCAAAATTCATATCTCGATATTTTTTAGCTGGATGGCGATATAAGATATATATCTCGATATTTTTTTTAAAGCCACAAGGTAAGAACAAAAAGAGATTTCTTAGTCAAAGCTGTGTCCCAGATGTCACACGGGCACTTATTAACATACAGCGTAGATGTACATGAAAAAAACTACTCAAAAATAAATTATGAGCATTTATTAAATAATCATGCTCCATAAATAAAAGAAAACTATGTTGTTTTTGTGCATAACAAAGAGCTCACAATTGTGCAGTCAAAATGTAAACTAAAAGACGCTGAGCATAATAACAGAGACAGATTTCACAGCTGCTCTGTTCCCAACTTCTACTGTGTGACTGACAGCCTGGAGTTTGAAATCCTCTTTGTAACCATCTCTCTTAACAAGTGGCATTCATGGTCCTTATACACACATAATACGGTAATATTATGTTGAAGCACAGTACGTATCACTCCGCGAGGCTCCTCGGTAGCCGTAATGCTCCGACAATCCATCAAGCGCTGCAGCTCCGTAGCTTACCAAAGTCGTACTAAAACATTTTTTGACAGATTGCTGAGCGCCGTGTACCACATAAAATCGGTTCGCGGTCATCAAGCGCAACCAGAATTCATACATAAGGCGCGCTGTCAACTTTTGAGAGAATGAAAGGATTTTAGGCTGTGCAGATGGCGTTAGCCTGGTTAGCTCGTTAACACGTTGACGCCGTCCAGCCCCACGCACGGGCCGATGCGCAGTAACTCGTTAACGGAGATTTGCCGTGTCCATCTTGTCGCTGCCTGCAGGTGAAGCAATGGGGGAGGGAGGGGGAGTTGTGTTCAGTGAAGGAGAGGCGAGGCTGAGTAACATTGCGTAAAGACAAAAGTGGACGAAAGAGAGGCAAACTTGTGGCTCCACAACTATAATTATAACGGAACATAGACTATATCGATATAAAAGATATTGTCACATCTTATATCTCGTATAAAAATATATCGATATTTTTTAAAAAATCGATATATCGCCCAGCTCTAATTAACTGCCTTTTGCACTCTTAATGTCAACCATCGTGTTTCTTAAATGTCTGCCATTTGCAGCTATTTATTTCAAAAAGTTGCCCATTGATGTTGGCAAAGACTTTTGAAAATGGACCATCGGAGACGTACCTTTTTTTCTGTTTCATTTACAAGGCTTTGTTAACTCTGCCCATTTCAAACATGCTGTATGCTGTGGTCTTTTAATATTTAAATGTCAACCCTGGCTCTTTCTTCTTAGCTAAAACTACCCCTATCCTTTTTTAAATTGTCTCTTTATCTTGCCCTTGCCTGATCCACACAGCCTTCCTCCAATGTCACGCTACTGTACCTGTCCTGCCCACTCAGTAGTGGAAAATTATCTTGCTGATTTACAGTGTAATATTAAGCAGGCATAATGGCCCACTAAAGCAGATAATATGGGTCACAAATCTCTGGAAGGAGTGATGCTTTAACTGGTTGTGGGGGTTTCATCATATGTCTGTTCCACACTTAACTCTAAACAGACTGAATATTCATGCATGATGGCAATGGGTAATTCTGAATGAATCTTTGCTGTTTTTCTTAAATAATTTCCTGCTGTACGCAGCTACAGCTAGCAGCATAACAAATCTGCCAAACAGGCACACTGTAACATCAAAGCAGCCCTGTAGTTTGAGCCAGTGTGGTTCAACACAAGTGTTACGTGAATACTCCAGGGACATAACTGTTTATATTCTAATAATAGCTCAGTGAAATGAATTCATAAATTTAGATTTGTATACAATTATAGTATAAAGCTGGTTCAAACTGTTTTGAATGCAACAAAAATGTAGACAGTCTATCAACTGCTCACTAATAGCACATTTTGTGATTAATCTTCCATTATTTTATTTGGTTGCCTTCCTGGACAATGTTGGGAGAATCAGTTTCAGGCATTGTCCAAAGTTGCCCTTTCTTGTATGCAGCCCCAAGCAAACATGTTGGAAAGGGCGACTTCAAAATGTGCTGTGCTTGAAATATTCAGTTTGACACCTTTTTACATATAGGTGCAGACAACATGGATTTTGTACTAGGCACTTGAGTGGTTAAAGACTGCATCAGACATCTGCATTCACGTGCATTCAACTAGCTAAGGCTGGGAGGCTTGGTTAAAAAGCTGTATCCATACACTATATGGCTACATCACAGAGTCCGGTTAATTAGTGCCTACAGTTTGCTAAGTAACATAGCAAAAATAAGCATTTAAATAAAGCACTAGAACTGGAGCAGGGATTACCTGCATGGACTGCTACAATAGTACAAATGTATTTGCAGCAATCCATATTACTTGTCAGAAAATACCATTAAAACATTTTCCAAAAAGCACCAACATCAGACACATGGTTAAGAGCAGCCTTATCGGCATCACCTGCCACCTAAATCAGTCGTGTCTGTGATTTTTTTCTCTGTCATTCACATAAAAGGTTTATTTCTGCTGTAAAGTTTGGGGTTATGTAGGAGTCTTATAACATTGCACTCACTTTGTGAAGACATTCTTATTCTAAAAAACTGCAGCTTTTTTGTTTGCTTATTTGTTTGTTGTGTGACAAAAGTGTCACACATTTGTACTAATTAGTGTCTCATCCAGTTTCTATGAAGCCAGGCTTTGAACAGCTATCATGACTTTATACTTTTTACTGTTACTCTAAAGGCAAAATATGACCAAATAAAACATAAAGTATAGTCACAGAAATATTAGCTTATGCCCACGATCCTCAGTTAAAAGCCCGAAGCTATACAATTCCAACACAATCCTGAAATAAATAAATAAAACTCATGCATATGAAATATGAGATAAAGAACTTGAGTGGCCACCTAATCTCAAGATACCTACACTGCTAAATTGCTAATGTAGAAAACTCCATCCATCCATTCTCTTCCACTTATCGTTGTCAGGGTCGCGGGGGGCTGTAGCCTATCTCAGCTATCAAAGGGTGAGAGGTAGGGTACACCCTGGACAGGTCGAGAGTCTGTCGCAGGTCTAATACATATAGACAAACAACCATTCTCGCTCACATTCACACCTATGGGCAATTTGGAATTACCAATTGACCTAATCCCACTAACTGCATGTCTTTGGACTGTGGGTAGAAGCTAGAGTACCCAGTGAAAACCTACGCAAACACAGGGAGAACATGCAAACTCCACACAGAAAAGCCCTGGCCAGGTGGTGGAATCAAACTCTGGACCTTCCTGCTGTGAGGCAACAGTCCTAATCACTCTGCCACCATGCCGCCAATGTAGAAAAATTCCTCGCAAATTTCAAAACTCAATTGCCCTTAGGAAAAAAACAAAATAAAACATGGTTGGTAGCTCATGTATTTATGCAAGTGAAAACATTCCTCCATTGACTTACTGCACTAAGCTACGGTTAGTTTCAGCTGAACCAATAATAATTTGTCCTAGCCTAAGGGCATCACGTCTATGTTTTTTTTTTATGTTATTTTCAGTCTGTGTTTATTAATTAGGGTTTCTTATGAAAAATTAATTTAGCTTATGATATATTAATCTCCTCCTCCCTCTATACATACCCATGAACAAAGTAAATTACACTTTCACGTATGAGTGATTTAAAGTACTTTACGCTAATCGCTGTTCATAAGATTCACCCAGGAAGCTCCACATAATGTAATAATATGTTGTCTTGGGCTAAGCTAGCAGGCTTCTCTAAGCACCTCTTTTCTCAGAGAGAGTCATCAGTGCTCTGTGTTGCAGTCGTGAGGTTTGCTCTGTTCTTCTTGTTGCCTGCAGGAGTTCTGCTTTGTGCATCCATACTCATCTCTCTGTCTTTGTAGAAAATGCAAAGCATACAAAGAAGCCTGAAGCATTCATGTGTGAATGCAAGTGAGTTTGTTACCTCGGTAAACCACAGGAAGACACTGTGTGAATGCCTTTATGCTACTTTTATTAAGTCACAGCATTTGTACATATTCATTTTAAAACCCCTTTCTCGGTTTAGCTATATAATGTGCTGTGTATCTGATTTCTTGAAATAATCCCTGCTGTCTATCACTGTCTATAATTTTAAACAAAAAGATGGAGAGACATATTTGGGCCTTTTACCAACAAGTATCTGCACATTAGCATGAGAAATGTCACCCTTCAGTCAAATTTCTTCCTATACAAAATCCTTAAAAGCCATGTTTCTCAGTTCAGCAGTTTAGTTCTTATAGTAATTAAGGACAATTTGGTGATTTGAATTTGATGTGCCTGTTGTGGTTCCATGCATCATGCAAACTTGTGTAACTCTTCCCTTTTATTCTAGAGATTCTGAGTTCTGCTTCAACCTTCTGAGTCATCTTAAGGCTGGCCAAACAAAATTACCCCAATTAGGCACCAATACCCGAGTAGCTGCAGCTACCTGCATGAGCTTCAGCAATGGATGTGTGGAACATGGTCCACTGGGGACTTAGTGCAGGTAGTGTCCCCACCCTCCCTGAGTCTGGTGATGGGCAAGGGGCTGTATACTTGTATCTCCCTGGTTCACTGCCTATACATTGGGGTTTTTCCCAGTGGATGAGAGGCTTGGTACCCCTTGCCTTCGGATCAGGGGAATGGGTCCTGACTGTAATATGTGCCTATGTGACGAATGACAGCCATTTTGAGTCAATAGGTGAGGTGCCGGAGAGGGCTCCAATAGGCAGTCTATTTTAAATACAACCAACTCTAAATGGATAGCCACTGAAGGAAAAAAGGTCAAAAAGGATGATGGGATTTAAATATTACCCAGATGGAGACCTGTTTAAAGTACAGTGTGTGTGTAAAGTGTGTGTGTGTGTGTGTGTGTCTGTGTGTGTGTGAGAGAGAGAGAGAGAAAGGGGAGGGGAGAGAGAGTTTGTTTAGGAGCAGATGATCAGTGATACAACATGTGTTCAACATTAGGTCCATCAAACAGTGAGTGACCTTGTATTGTGAATTGTGGGAGGATGAATAAACCTGTTACAGTAGGTGCATTCATCTGTGTGCATTTGTGCACCTATGGACATATTCTTTTAGCGTGATTGAAAGATTGCCTCTAATAGTACAAAGCACAAAACACATAGAAGCCCCCCAGCTGGCCTGTGGCTCTGAACCCAGGACCTGTTTGCTGTAAGGCAAAAGAGCTAACCACTGTGCCATTGTGCACCCCATAGTATAAAGTGTAATAAATATAAAAAGGCGCAAGTGGTTGTCACATATTTGTATATTATCCTTTAGCTTATTTATTTTGAGTTTGTGTAGCCTCCCTCATTTTTCACCATAAATGTTTGAGTATCTACCTATACAGAGATGAAAAAAAAAAGATTTCTCTGTTTTTTAATTTACTTATTTGTTTGTTTGTTTTATTTATTTATTTATCTTCAGATCGCTATGTGCTGGTTGGTAGTCGTCATGACAGCGACCATGGAGGCGGGACTTCAGCTATTATGAATCAACTGATTGCAGCACTGACAGAGCAAACCAAACGCGGATGGGTACCAGACCGTACCACTGTGTTTTGCTCATGGGGAGGCTCGGCCCTGGGAAACATTGGATCTTATGAGTGGGGAAAGGTCAGCAAACACAAGAGCCTCTGCTTTATTAAATGTCACAGGGTCAAGGGTAGAAATGTCTGAAAATAGAAGTACTGGCAACATACATGAACACCGATCACTAGAAACATGAAGACACTTCTTGTCAAAGGAGTGTGGGGGGTTGGGGCTTAATTATGATGGTGTGATGAGTGTAATGACAACAATTATATGATTATTATAGTAGATTGAAATCATAATAGCTGGTGTGTGGTGTACATTTATGTGTTCCTTTCAGGATAACAGTGTTGTTCTGCAGAGCAGTGCAGTGGCCTATGTCAGCCTGAACTCTCCAGTTAGAGGGACGGAAGCTCTCAGAGCTACAGCTTCACCAACTCTTCTGCAGCTCACCTCAGATATACAGAGGGTAACTATTACTATGATTCCATGTACTGCTACTGTCACTCCAACATGATGTCCTGCTACAGTGTCCAGTGTTATCACAACACACACCCTATAAATTATCAGGGATCCTTCAATATTAGTAGTAGCACTGTGATTCACCTAAAATATGGCAATGAATAATCACCTCATTTCAGTGAAAGATATAAAGCGGTGGCATTTTCTTTCTTTTCTTTTTTTCAAAATTACAGCTGCTGCCACAGCTGCGATTTTGCCAGGTTAATGTTGAAATTTGCGTGAAAAGATCTGCTAAAAACCACCAACTGCTAAGCACCATATTAGAGATTACCCTTGTGGTGTCTAGGGCGGTTCTGTTACTTTAAAACTATGTTGTTTTGCAAGCTTTAACCTAAGAGGGTAAACTATAGTAAATAAGACTTAATCTTGTTTCCTATTTGAGTTCCTAGAGGCACAGTTCCCACTAAATTGTGTGTTATCAGCTTAATACTTCATGACTTTTCCATGTTTTATAAAGGAATGGCTTAAAAAATATTTTAAGCTTCAGACATCCAGAATACCCACGATCAGTTCATCTTAAAGCCCTGATCATGCATGATTAAAAGCTCATATTCATATTCTTTATTTTTGTAACTGTTGTTGAAACTTTGTATCTATTTCAACCCTTAAAAAAGTGCTCATAGAAGGTCTTCTCTGGATAACACACTGCTTTCATCATTGCTTGTCTGCATCAGTATCAGTTTTAATACCCATATTAAATGGTCTGTCTGTATTTGTATAGCGCTTTCCTAGTCCCTAAGGACCCCAAAGCGCTTTACATTCACATTCACACACATTCACACACTGGTGATGGCAAGCTACATTGTAGCCACAGCCACCCTGGGGCGCACTGACAGAGTCGAGGCTGCCGGACACTGGCGCCACCGCGCCCTCTGACCACCACCAGTAGGCAACGGGTGAAGTGTCTCGCCCTAGGACACAACGACCGAGACTGTCCAAGCCGGGGCTCGAACCGGCAACCTTCCGATTACAAGGCAATCTCCCAACTCTTGAGCCACGTTCGCCTCGTTATCCCCTCATCAAAGCATGTGCCAGATTTCGATGTCTCATTATGGAAATTTGTGATTGTTTTGTATTAATCCAACTATAGCTTAAATATAGATGATTAGAGGTGATTAAAAAAGTTAGGTAGCAATAGTACTGCAACTCGAATACAGTGAAAAACCGGAACATTATGAAAATTCATAAATGCGAAAGACGTCTGTCATACACTGGACATGACACGATATGCCCGTGACTCTGCATCTAGGATGTGGGAGAAATGAGCAGATGTAAATGCATGAACTTTAACAAGGACAAAATATTCATGGCTGTGGAGTTGGAGCCTCTCCCAGATCGCAGAGCTATCACTGATTTTCTAGTTTACAGACAAACCAAACCAGTGACAGGATGTTAGTGGTTGTGTTAGAGCTTTAAACTCACAACTTAAAGGACCTAAAGGATCCGTTGCATCTTAATGCCACTTTTGGAGATCTTTTGTTGCTTTTTTGAAACTATGTAAAGAAACAACAGCAGGCTTGTTGTAACTGATTAGAACATCTCACTATATGTCCATATTTCAGTTTACTTTGCTTCTTCATTTCTATTATTTGTTTGTTTCTCTGTAATTACCCGTCACTAATCAGGATGTTAATATTTTCAATTCTGCTTTGATTTTTTTTGAGGTAAGTTTTCCTCAGAAAATTTGCTTCAGGAACAACTGCTAGCAGACTCTTAGGCAGACACACTGATTTCAGCAAGCTCGGTATTAAGAATAAAGATGGCCAGATGTTGACATGAAATACTGCCACCTTATTTTGAAGGCCATTCTTAATGGAGTAATTTTATGTTCATTCTACACATCCATTAAGATAATTCTCCCTTACGTTTAGTGTAATAGAAGGATAAAAACGTTATGTGATCCTCCTCTGCCTTGCAGAAATTAGTTAAGGATATGCCTCACAGGTGTCCTCGGTTTCTTTAAAACAAGACGTCAGGGGTTTAAAGCCTGGTTAGAAAATGCTTCCGGCTAGACCCTAATGCCAAATCAGCTACATTGAACTATGAGTGAGAGACAGGTAACTGAAGCCATAACAGCTTTAGTAAAATAGATGATGTAAAAATGTTACATAACCAAGGTCCCTCTCTTTCTTCCTGAAATTAGTTGGAAGAGATGCCCTGCAGGTGCAGATTAAGCGAGACATCTCTCAAAGGCTTTGGGCAACTTTACAGCTGCTGCAACTGCTTGTACAAGAATTCAGCTGATTATTAACCTGTTCATTTATTGGAGCTGATAATTCTTTAATTAATGATGGATTTTTTTAACAAGCAAACCACTACTACAAGGTCTTTATCAGTTTATTATAAATGGTAAAGAACTGAATGTGTCACGGTCTGGCTGGCAGACCGTGGGGAGATGGGGAAATAGGACCCAAACGCCGGACTCTTCAGTGCAACAGTGTTTATTTACAAGGTGGT